GCCGACTGGGGTTCAAGGAGACAGAAGCAGAGATACAAAAAAGAACTGTAAAAGGCGGCCTCGTCCAGGAAACACACAGCTAGGCAGACGAGCTCTGAGCCAGCTCCCATGTCAGAGGATGAAGAGAGCACATCCAGCCAGTCACAGTCAGAGAAACAGGACTACACTGGAAAAACAGGCCAATCTCCAACATCTATAAGCAAGGGTGTTGATGGAAGCAGGACAGCTGATATTTCTCTCCAGGATGGCGTCACAGCCAAACAGGAGTAGACGAGGCAAAGCTACTATGAGAAAAAGCAGAGAGCATAATGTTAGAGATTGAACCAATAGATTCTGCAGAGTGGGAGAATAGAGATAGATTGACTCTTCTGGACCACCAGGGGGCAGTTCTTCAAAGGGGCGTAATGTTAGCATCTCTGGGCTTTTTTAGTATCTAAAAATGTTACATCTTTACCAAAAAATGGGGAAACGTATTTGCTTAGGGCTTAAATGAAATACTTAGGTTTTGACTGAAAATATTTTGCTGCGATAATGAGTAATCTACTCACTTTGCAATAAGTGAAAGTACACCTGCTGTCCTTTATGAGCTCAGAAAGTCAACAATGTGTACCTCAAAGTGCTTCATTCAGCACTGAGAGAGAGAGTGAGAGAGAAAGCTACCGTTGTGAGGGGGTGGATGCCATTGTTTGGTTGAGGTAAAGCAAATGAGACCCCGGAGAGCCCTACTTAGCTACTCATAAAGGTCAGATATGGAGTCACACACCAGTGGATGCTAATCCTGACCCCAGGGACCATATATCTGCTCATGTGCCTGTGGATGCAATTGTTTCACAGGACTGTGACATTTAAACCTGAATGAGCGTTCGATCCTCTGCGGCAGAGCGGTGTGTATGTGAATTTCACCTTTGACTGGAAAACAGTGGGCTTTAATACACATGGAGGTTTAATTAGGAAAAAACCCTGAGGGTAACTAAAACATCAAAGTATATTTTCTCATGTAGACAACCCCATTTCAATGCGGTTATTAATATTCTTATTTTCTACAGGTTTCCACAATTCTTACTTATAATCCTGCTGATTAAAACATGTTTTATTTCCCTTAAAATAAATATCCCCCTTAAGTTTATAAGCAAGCATGTTTTGACAGCTTTTTTTCAGGAGCCTTTTTTTTTTTTTGCTGAGAGCCGTCATGTCATTATGAGACAATTTGGTATGTTGGCCATTATAGTGGTGAGATACAGTCTAATTGGTAATTTACTAATAATACACACTGATGGAAAGAAATCCTTTTCCTTTTCCCACATGCCTGTCAGTGGACCTCTCTGACTGAGCCACCTGAGAGCGGGCAGCAGTGTAATTTGTGAGTTTTAGCAGAAAACGTCGGCGATAACGACGGGTGGGTCAGTCTTACAGTTCATCCTGAGAGTAATGAGCAGAAAACATACAGCAAATTAGTAAATACTACTGCAAGCTGAGAATATGGACCAAGGGCTCTCGTTATGAATAATTATCATTTCTGTGTCTGAGACTATATTTATACCAAGACACCAATGAATTAGTGTTTCCGTTTTACATGCAATTGCAATGTTTTGGCACAAATATATAAACAAAACTACGATCCTGAAGGTATATGGTATCAGCAGAGGGGAAAAACAAAATAACTTCTGATGACCTTTAGAGAAAGGCGTGTGAGTATGAGACAAGAAACCCAGGATAATTCTGAAAAAAATAAATAAAAATGTGCATATGTGAAAACAGAATGAGACCAGGAGCAATGGATGCATGACCTTTTGCAAACTCTTGTAACAAAAACAAAATAAAATAAAAAAAGAAAGATGCTTTAGCGCTGGACTGACTTTTCCCAACAGCTCCAAGATAACGAAATTGAATTCATGATGGAGCTGCACAATACGTTTGCTCAAATAGAATCCCAACTGAAGAGGACTGCCTTCAGACATAAATGATTCATAGCATAACTAAAATAATAATAAAATGTACCGTGTGATTTAAAGGTTGTTTGTTCATTAAAATAGTAAATCCACGTTCTACATTTGTCAGCTAGTAGGAGAAAATTTTTCTGTAACAAAACAGTGTCCTCTGATGGGGGAATAATCTTCGATCCTCGATGTGCCTCTAGGCTACAATAAGATTTACGTTCTCATTTTAGCGAGGTTGGCTAGGATGTCCTTTAACCTGTTAAACAAAAAAAAAAGTATAATCTGACGTCTGACTTTGAACATTTACAAATAGTTTTCCATGTGTTACGATTATTTTTTTATGGATGATGTCTGAGTCTCTTAAATCCTAATATTACCTGCCTGTTACATGTCAAACCCAATGTTTTTCCAAGAAGTTTATGTATTTAGGACAGTTCCTCTGTTAGTATAAAAAAGTCATCTTCATTATATGGGTGGCAGAGATTTGGCAATGGAATGAGAGCGGCCTCTATGATCTAAAAATCAGAGTGTAATATTTTGATAAGGCTGGAGCCATGGAGGTCTCATCTGCAAATGTGTGTGATGTAACGATGTGGCAGACTGGAGATGAATGAAATGATTCTTTAGCTGTGAACCGGGGCCGACTTCATGGAGAAGCAAGCCTGGTTGTTAAGGGCTGCCTTCTGTAATCCTAAACACATTCTCTGATTACAATTTCTGTCAAAATCTGTTATCTCTTATGGTCATTTAATCCATATATATATATCCAGGGGTTTGACAATGAAACTGAAACGCCTCTCATTTTAGTGTGGGAGGTTTCATGGCTAAATTGGACCAGCCTTGTGGCCAGTCTTCATTAATTGCACATTGAACCAATAAGAGCAGTGTGTGAAGGTCCAATTAGCAGGGTAAGAGCACAGTTTTGCTCAAAATATTGCAATGCACACAAGATTATAGGTGACATTCCAGAGTCCAAAGAGGACAAATTGTTGGTGCACGTCTTGCTGGCGCATCTGTGACCAAGACAGCAAGTCTTTGTGATGTATCAAGAGGCACGGTATCCAGGGTAATGTCAGCATATCACCAAGAAGGACGTACAACATCCAACAGGATTAACTGTGGACGCAAGAGGAAGCTGTCTGAAAGGGATGTTCGGGTACTAACCAGGATAGTATCCAAAAAAAAAAAAAAAGAACCACGGTGGCCCAAATCACGGCAGAATTAAATGTGCACCTCAACTCTCCTGTTTCCACCAAACCTGTCTGTCGGGAGCTCCACAGGGTCAATATACACGGCTGGCTGCTATAGTCAAACCTTTGGTCACTCGTACCAATGCCAAATGTCGGTTTCAATGGTGCAAGGAGCGCAAATCTTGGGCTGCAGACATTGTGAAACATGTATTGTTCTCTGATGAGTCCACCTTTACTGATCAGTGATGGTTTAGGCTGCCATATCATGGCATTCCCTTGGCCCCATACTTGTGCTAGATGGGCGCATCACTACCAAGGACTACCGAACCATTCTGGAGGACCATGTGCATCCAATGGTTCAAACATTGTATCCTGAATGAGGTGCCGTGTATCAGGATGACAATGCACCAATACACACAGCAAGACTGGTGAAAGATTGGTTTGATGAACATGAAAGTGAAGTTGAACATCTCCCATGGCCTACACAGTCACCAGATCTAAATAATATTTAGATCTGGTGACTGTGTCAGGAAACATTTTCCTCCACCAGCATCATGTCGTGACCTGACCACTATCCTGCAAGAAGAACGGCTTAAATTCCTTCTGACCACTGTGCAGGACTTGTATATGTCATTCCCAAGATTAATTGAAGCTGTATTGGCCGCAAAAGGAGGCCCTACACCATACTAATAACTTATTGGGGTCTAAAACCAGGTGTCTCAGTTTCATTGACCAACCCTGTATATACATAAAGTGTTATTTAGAATTTGTCATGAGTGATCTCTCCTCAGGAAAGAATCGGGGAGAGCAAACTTAAAGTTCTAAACACAGAGCCTTCTTTTACATATGTAAATTCAAATCAAGTGAAATCGAAACTGCTTACTTCTAGAGCCACAATTTACACTCATGCACTTTACCAATCAAATTCCATCACATCATATAATTGGTTAAAAAAGTAAAAAAAAAAAAAATCTTAGGAAGATCTTAGGAACCTGGAAGATTGCATTGAGTCATTGCTTTGCTGAATGAACTTCACGCTCCCTCTCTTCACATAAGCAGCCGGGAGTTTCTAGACCCTCAGCACCAAATGTAGAATAAAGGCCAAGTAGTAATTAGTAAATGAGAATTAAGCCTGATACCACATTAATAAATGCTTGGAATGTTTTAGACAGAAAATGAGACTCTAAAGCCACCTTGTGGAGAAAATCTGAATCACCTCAGCTGAGCACATTTATTAGAATCACAAAAAAAAAAAATGTAGGAAAAACTTCAAACAAATGCCTCCTGTAAAGCAGTGGTACAATCTCTTACTGAGCATTTATAATTAAATGTTTTGTATTAAGTGGGCAAAAAAAAGGGAAATTCAGAAGTTTATTTCCTCCTTACCTCTTGCGGTAACACTTTGCCTTAGTAGCTTGTGTGCAACTTGAACAGAACTGTCTTTAGAGCATGTGGATATCATTAAAGAAAGTTTATATGCTGTCTGGAACCCTGACTTTTTTTTTTCTTTTTTTGCAAAAGTTTCATTTTAAGTCATGTATCCTGGTGTTTCATTTTTCAGCTCACACCTATGCAAAATTTAGTCACTAATCGACTCAACACTCATGTTTTTGGAATGTGGAAGGGAGGCAGAGTCCACAGACGAAACCAGTGAATGCAATTGGAAAATATTCAAACTCCATGTTGGAAGAGTCTAGGCTGGGAATCAAACCCAGGACCTTTCATGCTGCAGGGCGACAGTGCTAAAACTGCAACGTCTTGCAGCCCAATACCTATTACATATTACCACGCAACAACTCGTAATTTATTTCCTTAAAATTTTTTGTTTCCTTGGCTTGAGTAATATATAATTAAAAAAACATAAGAAAACATGAGTGAAATCAAACACACAGAGCTTTAATTGAAGAATTGTTAGGAACTATAAAGAGTAGACGGGTTTATCATGTAATCGACATTTTTAAGGTGCCGTTATGTCCTCCACAGATTACCTTTCACTTTTAACATCTGCTATGTGTCCTAAATTTTAATGTTTTGAGTAAAAATATATAAATGAGATCATTGAATTCAAATTCTACATATAAAAGGTAAAAGGTGCAACATTTTGTGTAAAGAAACTTAATTGCGACGCTTCCCCTCATCAGTAAAGTTGGTTACATTTCGTATCATTCTAAAAATAAAAAAAAATTAAATAACTATCCTTTAGACCATTTCCATTATTTGTTTTGATAAATGTGTTAAGGGTTAAAAAACGAAACAAAAAAAACCAACACACTAAAATGGATTTTTCTAAATCTGAGCTCTCATTCTCCGCCATCCTCGCTCTTTTTGACCTCCTCCCTAATCTGTACGTCAGTTTTCTCCTCATCTTCTGCTTTCTTCTTCTCCTCTTCCTTCTCCGCTTCACCTCCATTTTGCTCATCTTTCTGCTCGGCCGCGTTTTGTTCGGATTTCATTTTAGCTGGGTCAGGTTTTGGAGCGTCTTCTTTCACCACCTCTTGAACGTTGTACTTCCTGAAGAGCGTATAGTCTCTCGCCACGCTGACGCAGCACACGGCCTTGATGACCTCCACGATTATCGTCAGTTCGGGGTTTGTTAGGTCCACCTTGTTTTTGGGGTTCAGTTTTCCTACAAGACCTGAGATGGGGAAAAACAAAAGGAATCAGTTTTCTTCAGACTAAAAGCCATTGGATCCTCCACAGACACTGAGGATCTGAACACACCTGCGATGGATTTAATAATCTCCTCTCTCTTGTTATGGCTGCTGTTTCGTGCTTTGAAGGCGATTTGATAAGTTGCGCTGTTTGGAGTTTTGAACCAGGGCTCTAAGAATGTGGTCAGGTACTTCAACATATCTTCCTGGAAAGCCTTGCATGTTCCCGTTACCTAGAGAAAAAAAAACGAAGGATCAGACACAGGGATTGAAAAAAAAAAAAAAAAACATTCACTTCATAACTTACCTATATGTGAGGTCTTAAAAACAGCAAACTGTAACAGATTCAATTTTCCACACCATAATTCAGAATTCCCTCTTCCACCTTTTGCATCTCTTTATATAACATCTAATGTATTTTATTGGGATTTATGTAACAGACAAATGCATGCAAAGATGCATGACCTTCATATTTTAGCCTCCTGTATTTTCATACCCCTGCTTAAATATGATTTAACCAAGTGCCTTAAAATGTCTTTTAATAACTGTCAGGACTCTGCCGGCTCTGCCATTCTCTCCCTTCTCCACAGGTGGCTGGAGCTGACAGGTGGCATCATACACACCTGTGGCTTGTTCAGCGGCGTCCGGCCCCGCTACAAGGTGTTAACCTTGTTGGTACGCTTAGAGGCCTCTGTCTGTGACAGTTTACCTTTTCCCTGCGCTAACCCAAGTCTCCTGTGTTTCCCAGGTCGTTTCTCGTTGTGAAAACCTTTCCAGTGATTCCTCGTGCTCGGACGTCTTCAGCGGAAGATCTCTGGTTCTGACTGTTCTGGATCCACCTCCGAACAATCCCTCCAGCTCCCTTGGTGGTACCAAGCCGGGCTGGAGAACCTTTCAAGTCCTTCTGGTTTCATCAGCTGCCACCGGATTCCTCCTCGGCCGCTGCTGCTGCTGCTCGGGCCCCTCCTCACGGACTTCCATCACCTGCCCGCCTGTCACTCTGTCACCTGCCAACATCTCGGGAGGTTCCTCAGTGAGTCCGTCTCTCCACTCCCCCCGGCCCGGTTCCTTCATCCTTTGGTAGGTTTATTTAATGTTTCCCCTCACTCGTTCTCCCGATCTCCGTCTCTAACTTTGGTTCTCACCGCAGATCGATCAGTCCTGCCTGCGCCGATAGTCCATCTGCTCTACCGTGCCGCAGCTCCCAATGTTTGGTTTCCTCGATGTTTGTTAAATAAACATCTGAAACTGCTCTTGCCTTCTGTGTTCGTTCTGCATGTGGGTCAAGCACCTTAAAACCATGACAATAACTAAAAGGCTAACCATGTCTGGTTTAATCTTGATGTAATTACCACTGCTCTCTAAATAGTAAGAGATTATTTAAAGAACAGTAAAGGAGCACAATCCATTATCTAAACTTGCAGCTTGCTAAAAGCTATGCAGGAACAGAGCACCACAAATATATAGAAATATATATTTTTTTGACAGATCGGAACAAAAATCCGCAACACTGGCTTATGTGCAGTAGAAAAGGAATACTGCCCATCACACTAAACATAGCGGCATGATCTGGAGCTGGTTTTCTACAGCAGAGACGGAATGAATAAATCTATCTTGTTGTGAAATACTGGGGTGGTTCACTTTCAGACAAGAAATTATCCCGAACATACAGGCAGAGTTTAAAATGAATGCTTTAGTTTGGAGGCATATGTGGCATATTCATACAGTAGAATGGCCTAGTCAAAGTTCAGACATAATTCAATTGAAAATTTGTGGGAGGGATTCGGTTTGCAGAAACACTCCATCCAAACTCACTGGCCTTGACACTTTAATACAAAAAGAAATATGACAAAGACTATTAGCTATAATTGCAGTAAAAGGTGATTCTACATTTTATCTCTTAAGCCTCCATAACAAGAATGAATCACGACACATTTCTTTAAAACCTCATCATTTTCCCTTCACTTCACAGTAACATTCTTTTTTGTCTTGGTCTAATAAATAGGGCTGCAACTAACGATCATTTTGCAAATCGATTAATCTGTCGTTTATTTTTTGATTAATCGATTAATAATCGGAGAGCAAAAAGTTCCTCAAAGAAGATTTTTTTGTACAAAATTAAACCAGTTGAAACAAAAAAATTTCCACTTGAGGAGTTCTGGATAGAGCACATTGACAGCCGAAAATGTCTGATCTTAAATGCAAAATGTTTCTATATATATATATATATTTTTTTTAATTTGGATATAATTCCTACTCTAAGCAGGTTTCTCTGTCAGCTAAATCAGGTTTTAGAGTCTCTATATTCCAGTTAACGATAAAAAAAAATTACTAAATCAGTTGACGATTATTTCAATTAATCATAATTAATCCAATTGTTTCAGTCCTACTTATAAATAAGGTTTATTTAAGTAGATGCTCATTTTGAGACAAAATGTGGAAAATTCCAAGGTGCTGCTTTTTTCTTTTTTTTCTTGGAACTTCCAAAATCCACCAATATACTTTTAAAGCGGTATGTTAAAAAAAGGCCTGCAAATATCCATTTTATCCTTGGAAATATATAAAACACTTATATTGTTTACCACACATTGTTGAATTCTTCATCTTTTAAATAACTTCTAAAAAAAAAAAAAAAAAAAAAAAAAAAGTAGAATAAGAGTGAGGTTGATCATCTTCTTACTGGTAGCATCCGAAGTATCACACGGGACTTCTTCTTCTTGGTGGTGTGGAGATCCGACAGAATGTGATGAACCAATTTGTCAGGTTCTTTGAAAAGAAGAAAAAAACTGTTATTAAAATAAACAATCGATCAAAAACCTTAAGGTTTGCCGTTTATTAAAGACCTACCCAGATTCAGAGTTTTGATGAAGATGACGTTGTTGGCGCCGCTCTCCAGGGCCTGGAAGCGCCTCTCCTGTTTGCCTCCAGATGATTTAAGCTGAGCAACCTCCTTCTTCAAAGCGACCTCAATGTCTTCTTCAGCCTCTTCTTCCTCACTGCTGCTGCTTCCTTTGTTGTCCTGAAACTGCCATTTAAATAAAATGCACTGGTTAAAAGCTAAACTAATCAGCTTTATTCTCGTTTCTCCAATAACATGAGAAACAAAATGTTTCTTAGCTTTTACACATCAGCTTTATAACAAAGTTAAAACTTATTTATTTTAATGCAAAGCTGTAAGAAAAACTATGAGAAAAATCAACATATGAAAACACAGGTGTGTTTTTAAACACTGCAGAAATGTCAGCCCAGTGAAAAAAGTCATTAGAATAATTTTGCACAAAAATTAAAATCCAAATAAAGTTTTTTTTTTTTTCTTATAATAATTGCATTTTTTCTTGAATTGAGGTGGTGAGACATTCTGCCAGTGGAATAAGACACTTGACATTAAAAAAAAAACAAACAAAAAAAAAACAATTGCATTGTCTTATTTCAAGTGCATATGGTCTAATTATCTCATTTTACTCAGAATACTTATTCAATTGGTAAATCATCTTATTTACCTACTCAAATTAAGGGTAAATACACTAAATTTAAAAAATCTTATACCCATTTCTAGATCGTTTTTGCAGTGTATAATGAACCAACAAATGAATTATTTGTAGATTCCTTCACTTTAGATAAAATGCATGGATATTGTATATTTATAAATACTGAAGGTGTTTTATAGAGTAGTGAAAAATAGTCTTCCTCCATGTATACAGAATTTATTTCAGTTAAGAAAAAGGCAATAAACTTGAGGGTCTCATCTATTTTTGAAGCATGTAAAGTGATAAAAATAAATAAAATAGATGTGGAATTGCATTTATGAGGCATTGAAATGATGTACATCATTATTAGCCTCAGTTTGAGTCTGTGTCCCTCTATTCTCTAATGGATATAGTTGATCCTATGAGGCCCGCTGGTTACCCTGCAGATTCTATCCCTCCTCGCTTGCTCATTTACTACAATTGGACCAAATGTTCTAGAAATTATTAATAGAAGTATTTCCTCTGGTACAGTACCAAGGGTTTTGAAGCATGCCGCTGTGGGTCCCTTTCTTAAAAGCACAGGCCTCAACCTTTCTCTGTCCTTTTAGGCCTATATGTCACCTTACATATGCACGGCTCAAAAATATTAAAGGAACACTTTGAAAATACATCAGATCTCAATGGGGGGAAAAAAAATCATGCTGTTTATTTATACTTATATGAACTGGGTGATGTGTTAGGAACAAAAGGATGCCACATTGTTTGATGGAAATGAAAATTATCAACCTACAGAGGACTGAATTCAAAGAAACCCCAAACATTACAGTGAAAAAATGATGCAGCAGGCTAGTCCATTTTGCTGAAAATTCATTGCAGCAACTCAAAATGGTATTCAGTAATTTGTATGGCACTCACTCTTTCTCCAGAAACTAGTCCCTTGATTTCCAAACTTAGTTTTATCTGAGGAGAAGGACTTCAATCAGACACATACATATGTTATATTTAGGAAAAGAGAGGCTTAACACAATGAGATTCTTTTATTTTGTCCTTCCACTCAACTTTCTATAATTTGACTGAATATACCATAGTTACACAAGTTAAACAGGAGCAATCTGTAAACTGTGAATTTAATAATATGCTTAAATATAATAACTTTTAGAAGACAGATAAGCTTATTAAGATGAATGCATAAAAAAAAAAAAAACTATCTGGACTGCTTAGAAGAGGCTCTAGAAAAACCAGGTCTAATCTGGGATTGAGTAATCCAGCCAGCAGAGGTAGGGCATCCCACACTGGCCCACCGATGAAATAAAATCTCTATCGCTGTAGGACTGACCTTCTCTGGTCCAAACAGCTGATCTGCGTACTCGTTGAGCAGGTTGAAGGCCTCCGCGGTGCACTTCCTTTCGTTCATGTTGCAGGTGATGAGGATCCCCTGCATCCCCACCTCCAGCTCCCTGCAGCCCTTCCACCTCTTGCCCTGCTGCCCGCCGCTCACATAGCGCTTCTTGCCCCGCTTCCTGGACTCGTTTTGTGCAGCTGACATGTTCCCAACAGATACAAGCTGGAAATCTGTTGATTTAGGCTCTCCACAGACCAGGCTACAGTCAAGGTTCCGCCTCTCAAGCTCCGCCGACTAAACCTACTTCAGCTTTGCAGAATCGCCAGAGATTCTTTAGTGGAAATCTCATCAAATCTATCCAGCATGAGCTGATTTCCGTTCTCACACGTGTTCGGCTTTAAACCGTAAACTGGCTGGTTCGAGTCACAACATTGGACGTTTGTTGGATGTCCTCTACGGCGTTTCGGGAAGGACAAACTCAGCGGCCGAGCCAAAATGCGAAGGGGATATAAAATCGAACCGTTTACAAATATGTCCTCCCCTCCTTATCTGCATAATGAGGCAGAAATGCATACAGAAATGTAAAAACGACAGCCAGAAATAAATAGTGTTGAAGAAATAAGGAGCAATGGTGTAAATATCTTAGAGACCCCCAACCTCTTAGGGGCTGCGCCTCTGACACCTGGTAGGCCCCCTGGACTAGGACGTCTTTGGCAAGCCATTTTAACATAAATTCGGTTTCGTCTGACCGTCCATAATTACGTTCCCGATATCTTAAAATACATTTTGACTAGACAAAACCAAATTTTGACAATCTGGAATGGTAATTTAAGATATCTGTATATACATTCTGATTAGGAAGAACAATAATTCAGTATTTCTTAAATTACATTTTGACTAGTCTAATGTCCTTTCAAAATATCTCAAACTATGTCACCAGATTCATCAATTAAAGCGCCACACATTGGTAATTCATAGCACATACCTGAGGTTACTTGAGTGACTGGTCCTTATTTATACCCTAACACATGCCAGATTTCAACAGGATGGTGAGCCGTTTAAACACGACACCTTTTACTATGTTAATAACTGTGTATAGTTCATTAGACGGTTGGTAAAAAATAAGCACATATAATATGTTTCAAACCGCAATAAAGATATTAACAGAACGATGTATTTGAGTATGTTATTTTTTTTTTTTTTTACACTACAGCTTGGAATTATGGGTAATCCAGGGTGTTGTACTTCATATGGGGCCCACCCAGATAATGTTGCTTACGGGCCTATTGTCGTGTCATTACGTCATTGATAAAGAGGGTACAAAAAAACCATGGAAGAATAAAACAGACAAAAATACCATATCATGCACATAAATAATTATTTAAAAATAAGTAATAAATAAAGTTGAAGATTATAACGGAAAATAAATAAGGTAATTATTAAAAAGGCGAATAAATAAAGAAGCTAATTAAAATAGATATATGTATTTATGTCTCACTGTATAATTTAATTTCTACCTACATTTATTTGTTTTGTTTATTTTTGGAGGCAATTAATTGAATGCTTATTTATTTATTGAGCATTTATTTATTTCTGTATTTATTTTTAAAAAATGGCAGAGTTGGTCCTCCATACACAAACAGAAAAATGTGGAACGTTACGAAAAGGTTTGGACATAACGTAATGTTCCAAAACGCACCGTGGATTCAATGTTTCTGATGTGAAAGAGTTTCGGCACCAATAGAACCCATATTGTTTTCTAATGCTGGGAACCTCAGAGTCCAGCCCAAATGGTCATGAAGGCATCAAGTTCTAAATAAAATGATCATGGGAGAGCATTTTGCTAGGAAAAAAAGTCACCGTGGGAATTGTTAGATTTCAACAAAACTAAATTAGGTGATCTGATTAAACAAAATAGGACATTCTGGCATTAAACTCTGCTTACACCTTGTTAAGTCCATCCCTACTAGACTTAGACAGATTTATTTTGTCATTTTGTATACACAAGTGTAATCAAAAATAAATTTTGTTTAGAACAGCTCTCTAGACAATTTAATTTTTTAAAGTGCAGCCTTGATAACATAAGCAGCAGTGATAAAAAAAAACAAACAAAAAAAACAACAACATTGTGATATTGAGCCATTATATCTAGTTATGGAATGCGCAACATTCATGTTTGCTTGGCAGCAGTGATGATAGGATCTTAGCATCCAAATGGGATTTTTACCCTGGTGGAAGGAATCTGATGGTTACTATTAATATGAAGGATACTATGAAGCATGGGGTGGTAGCATCATACAGTGGGATATCATTTTGTGGCAGGACCGTTGGGATGTATCCTTATAAAGGATAGGATGAAAGCAAACATCTAAATATTCAAGAAAAAACCTTAATGAAACACCTTTTGAACTTTAGGTGTTTCAAAGGATTTAGGCCCACATTGATTTGTTGCTGCAGGATTCTCTGCCGGATTCTCATAACATACCAGCTGCAAGACGTCCCAAGGAAACACTGAGATCTTGTTACTGTGAGAGGCCATTATTGTGCAGATAACGTATTACAGTCAAGAAACCAGTTAGAGATGATTTGAGTTTTATTACATGGTTCAATATCACACTAATGATTCCCACAATGAGGAGAATAGTATTCTGTATTCATTGTCAAGTAAACTTTTTAGTTTATTTAGCTCCTGTCCAAACCTGAAAAGGTTGGCTTTAGTGAAAACAATTAGAAGACAACTACACCGTTTCAACTTCTTTGCATATTTCCCTTTGTCTTTGGGTAAAACTTAGATTTAGCATAAATAGGTTGATAAAATACAAATCCATGAACAGGAATGAACAATGAACTGAACTGAATTTTCTGTATTTTCAACTGGCTTCTAAAATTGCATTGCTGATCATTTATTCCCAACTTAACAGTAAATTAAATCACTAGACCCTAAACTTTAAACAGCACAGTTTGAACTCGTCCTTACTCCACCTAGATGTATATATGTACCGAGTTGCTGCTATGTGACTTTAACTCCACTTTGTCAAAATAAAAGCACAAAAATATTTAAATAAAAAGTTAAATGACAAACCACTAAATGGGATGAAGCAAATATGACTCGTTTTCAAGGGCATGAAAGAAATGTGATTTTTCCTTAATGCAAACTGGAAAACTAGGTGTAAAGACAAAAAAAAGTTTTATTTTTGCTAAAGAAAGACAAAACAAATATTAGTAACAGCAGCAATAATTTAGCTTATTATTTAGATTCTTGTAACTAATGTAAAATTGCATCCACTAGCTTCTACTGAATTGTTTTAAAAACCATTATATCAATGCATCTCAATAGTTCAAAATTTACATTATTGGTAAAATAAAACCTTCATTTATAGGCAGCTTTGCTTTAAATAAATCAAATCAAATTAGATAATTAAAGGTAATTGAGTCATTTCCACAGTTTTCTGGCAGTTGTATTCATTATAATGTCAACATGGGAAAAGTACGAATCACAAAAGATCACTTTGGAGGCTCATACCACTCCAGGAGTCTTGGAGTCCCACCTTAAAGATCTGTGAAGATCCTTGGTGTACAGAATGGAGTCTCACTATATATAGCTTCATAACCCTTATCAGACTGGTAGATTTTAATAACCTCTCTGAACTCTTTCTTGACATCAGAGATCAAATGTGTTTTTTTTAAGATCTGGACACCTACTTCCTGTTGTGAGACAAGTTCTATTTAATTTATTTCATGATACAACAGTTTGGCTAGTATAACTGATATAATGTTTTTATAAAGTATTGTAAATTACAGCTCTTTTCATGACTTAAAAATAAGGGGGGAAATATATATATATATATATAAATATATATATATGTATTTTTTTACACAAGGACAGGTTGGTTAGGAGAGCTTTGTTAGTGATCTAAAATATTTAAATCGAACTAAAACTGAATTAATCAGAGATGCTTTTTCACAGACTGTAGATATTGACTACAGAACTGCTAAAGCTCCAGGAGCTTGATGAGGATGGTGGAAAAAAGAGAAGTGTGGGTTTACCCCAACTACTATAACAATTTTAACCAATATCATCATAGTAACATATTGCGCATTCCCATTGCTTTTTTCAAACCTCTTGCAAACCACATACCGTTATGATTTGAACCAGGCTTGAAAATATTTAATCGGATTAAACATGATTAATCGATTATTCAAATAATCTTCAATTAATTTAATAATCAATTGTTAACTAGAGTTTAGAGACTGTAGAACATGCCTTTAGCTGACAGAGCAAACCACTTAGAACAAAAATTATGTCAAAATTGTAAGAAAAAAATTAAGAAGAAAAACGTTTTTGACTTTCAATATGCTCTATCCACAATTCCTTAATTCAATTCAATTCAGTTTATTTATATAGCGCCAAATTCACAACACATGTCATCTCAAGGCACTTTACAGTTCAACCAGATCATATAGTCAAATTGATACAAAGTTTTCTATCCAAGGAAAACCAGTTGATTGCATCGATTCATTGACTCAAATACAATCCGTCACACGAAGCATGCTTGTAGCGACAGTGGAGAGGAAAAACTCCCTTTTAACAGGAAGAAACCTCCAGCAGAACCAGGCTCAGTGTGCTAAGTGGAAAAGTTTTTGTTTCACCTGGTTTAATTTAATAAGAAATCTTCATTAGGGAACCTTTGGCTATCGGATTATTAATCAATTAATCAAAAACATAATCAATATAATAATCGATTTGTAAAATAATCATTAGTTGCAGCCCTAAATGAATAGAAAGTGTCAGTCCTTCACAGGATAACCTAGCGCTGATTCTCCACACGCTCAGTAGCTTCTTCTCTGTGGCGGCCTGTATTGTAGCGTTGAGTTGACCTCACACAGGGATATAGAGGACTGCACAGCAGGAGGAGCCACCATACTGCTCTTGATCAGAGCTGACTCCCACTTAAAAAACCCACAGCCTTTCCCTGTGCTGCCTCTGCCAGCTGAGCGACGGACCGGACAGCAGTAAAACCCCCGGCCATGGTTCGGACCCCCGTTTGACACGACCTGTCGTCTTGCCCGGCGACCGCAGGCGCACAGAGGGGCTGTGAGCTTTGGGCCCTTTGCTGTTGATGCTATGTGGACCTGTTTGGAACAGGAGGAGATGACATTGGTATGCAAAGAGGACAGGATGTTCCTGGATGGGTGCAGAGAGCTGGACGTAGATGGATGAAGAGACTCTGCTGTCTTATTTGGATCAGTATAAATTGTAAAGGAGGATTTCTGCGATGCTCTGTGTTTTGTGTCGTTTGGTTTGGGCCTCATAGTGGAAGGATTTGGAGTGGAGGTCTTTTCAGGCAGAAAGGGTTTAGGTGGAACTGGACAGACCCCCTTTGTCTGGCCATCTTTATCACACCTATCTTTCTCTAAAGGTCCACTTCTGCACTGATTCAGTTTGCTCCAATCAACAACTGTAGGCACAGCAAAACATTTATCAGGCTCTTTTGTTGTCGCCGTATGCAGTTTTTCATGTGTCCCTTTAAACCTTTTAACATTGGAATTTAACGTGTTAAGAGATTTACACATCATTGACAAATGTCTTGAATCATTTGGCATTTTCAGGTTCTCAGGTTGCAAACTGAGGGGACCCACAGACGAACGATCCATCCCTTCCAAATCCTGACATCTACTGTCAAAATCTGAGATACAGCCAACATCCACAGAGATGGTATCCATTTCAGAGTCATCAAATGGCAACAACACATCATCATAAGAACCGCACCTCTCGTCCGTTTCCACTATAAGTTCTCCATCCTCCTCATCCACTTGAGCTGTTGTTGTGTTGTGAGGTAAGTCTGAAATACAGCCAATGGTTGTAGAGCACAGAACATGGCTGCTAATGCTGCCGTTACTGCGTGGGGGGTTCAAGTTTATCACAGATGTGGACAGCAAACCGTGAGCCGCCTGTGCCGTCACAGCTTTGCCACTTTGACCCTGTTGTGGTGCCGGTGTTACTTTTAAAAGTGTCTTTGTTGGTATTAAGATTTGACACGTTTGACCCGTGCTTGAATTTGGAGGCTCCTCAGGAGACGGACATTTTTGGTGAGCTTTAGCAGGAAGGTTGGTGGATGATGGCCATCTGCTGGTAGTGGACAAGTTTTCTTTGTTGCTCACATTCTTCTCTTTTTCTCGTTCCTTTTTCTCTTTTTCTTGCTTGTTTTCTGTAGCAGAGAAGTTCCTGCTGAATAGAGATTTGACCGACAGTGGTGTCTGTGAGAAATAAAGCAGATAATTGGTTAGTTGAAAAAAAAGTACACTCACAATATTATCTTTAAATCATTCTCACTTCTGTAGCTCACTACTTACAAAGGGGGCAAGTTTTCAACCAATGATTAAAAAGTATATTTAAGGGAATTTGATGCAACAGACAACAAACCAAGACATGGTCTTGCAGAATTTCAAGATAAATGAAAGTTTTGACTTTGTATGCTTTCCCATTTACACCGAAACCACTTAAAAAATCCATTGTAACCCATTTTTAAACACAAGGACAGGCCCATTTATATACATAATCTAATTTCCATCAAAACTGCCTTTACTAGTCCTCCAACTGCTAAAAAGAGTTCATGTTTGTAATTTAATTTCAGTACAAATTTAGCTGTTCTGTAACAGCCTCAACAGTTTGTTAATGAATATTAGTGGATGAAGACCAGTAAAGAGAGCAGAAAGGTCAGGGACAGAGGTGTGGAGATATTTGAAGCAGGTTCTAAAACAATATCTGACAGTGTTTTTACCTCTGACAGTGTAATGACAATAAAAGCTGGAAAAAAAAAGACCTGAAGGAGATTTAGCTTCCAGAGCAACAAAAAGGTGGCAGACTTGATGTAATTGAGAAGCTGTGAGAACAATGATGTTTAGAGACAATCATCATCCGATCTGTTTTTTTGTTTTTGTGTATTTTCAACAAATATGAATAACCCACCTTAAAGATTAAGATTCTACCAGGAGAGCTGGATCCAAATCCATACAACCTTTTCTTCTTATTTTTATTTGCAGAACACTTAAAAAGCATCCATTTCCCCCAACTACAATAAAATACACTGACCTGTTATTGGGATTTTAAAAATAGAATATAAGATCTTCTCTATAGCAAGAGTCTCTAAATTTGTCGAGAAAAAATTGGAAAGAGCAGAAAATCATTAATTTTACTTCCTGAATTCAGTTTATTGGTTATTCAAACTAAAATTTAAAAAACATCCGTTCAAAATAAAAGCTTTGAGAACAAGGTCCCTGCTCATGAATGCGAGGCGTGATTTTAGGAGTCTTTGTTCTTTCAGGACGTCGTCAGGTGACCACTCACCCTCTCCAGGCTTCGGGTGATTTTCAGCACACATCCATCTCTCATCATTCTGGCTGCCAGTCGAGCTGTATTCCGTGCATCATCTAAACCTGTAAGCAAAAACAAAAACAAAAAAATTTAATAAGAGAAGGAATGCTGTAATTTGATAAGTAGTTTTAAATAAAAAATAAAAACTACAGAAATGTCCAAATATCAGTACCAGAATGTTCTCGCCCAGAGAACTGTATCCCTAGATCCTGCAGTGCTCCATTCAGGCCTTTGGGCTTTCGACTGTAAAAGAGCTGGAATCCAATAAAGACGTGATAGAGCTACATGAATAAATGGTTTTAATACATCCATTATTTTATCACAGGAAAAAAAACAAATAACATCCTAGTTTTAAACAGCTCTAAACAGAAATTCTGTTCCCTTTGCAAAGGTGATAAAAGTACCAAGTAGTGCATAATAGTAAACTAGAAGGAAAATGGTTTTCATCTTTTTTTTTTCCTTGAAAAAAAAAAATGGTTGCAGTGTATTTTTGCCAAGTTTCCTTCATGATGTGTGCTTTCCTTTTGCTACTGTTCCACTGACTACCAGATTTCCTGGTGACACATTTCTGCACCTGAACTGTGTATCTGATATTTCCTCTCGAGTTATCATGAGCATTTTAGCAGCTTCTCTGATTCATTCTCTCCTTACCATCTTACATGTACTTTCCTTTTTATATAAAGGCCTGTACAGTGCTCTGTGGTCAAAGCACGGGACACTATCAAAAACTCTATTCTGCTTTAAATTTTACTACCAGAAATGGTCCTCTTATTTAATAATGTAATTAGCGATGCAGTGATACACACTTTTTAACATCCAATCCAGTTCTGATATTGAATCTTCAGATCCTGCTACTTTGGCGATACCAGAGCTCTGTTTGTTTTAATTTTAGCATCATTACTATTGATTTTTTTTTAAAGGCGATCATAAACTCCTCTCTTAATGCAATGTATGAATATATATGACCTTATACTGATCTCGTATATCCCATAAGGAAACATGAAATTTGTTTAAGGTCAGAAAAGGAAGTAAAAAAAAAAGAGTAAATTATGTTAACATGACAAACTCCATCCTGGAAACAAACGTTTAAACTGACTGCTGACAGATGCCCATCAATAGAATGAATAGATCTACCAGATTTACACATATGAACTTGAAGAGTGAGTCTGTAAGTGTAACACATTGCCTACAGTATCTGAAACATTTTAATGCAGTTTGAACAAAATGCACTTAAAGTGCAAAAATCCTCAAAGGTAAATATGCTAAATGGATTAGCTGGTACCTACCCTGTATGTGCTCCTTAGGTCTATCCAGCTGTTTAACACGTCTGGTTTATGAAGCTGTTTGCGTTTACACTCATACTGCAAACAAACACCCAGATCCCAATCTGAAAACACAACGGAGATAGTCTCATGTTAAATGTGTTCAAAGATATTTTTCAATCTGACTTAACCAGCCTGGATAGGTGCTACCTGACCACGTGAGGAAGGTGCACAGTTTTTGGGAGGGAGAAGAAGCTGAAGACGTCTGCTTATTGTTAGGGAACATCACTCCCTTCTCCATCCGCAGGTTCTGCAACCAGCGGTTGAACCGAGAGAGGCAAATCTGAAGGGGGACGCCGGATTCCACTTGCCCCTGTTTGACAAAGACAATCAAGCTATGAGATATCCATTTATTCTTATATGCATATATGGAATGAGGGATTTTGTCAAAAACCAAATTGCGATTGTCATCAAGATTGCAATTTTATATTAATTTTCCTTTGTATTAACTACAAGCTTGTAGACATTTCACTCAAGGTTTTAAGTTTTTTAGAGCTTGTTTGCCCAGGGTCCATTTTTACGGGACTTTACCGTAACCATTGTGTGAATCTGTTTACTTCTACTTCTGTGCAAGCATTTGCAAGCCAGCTGCAACTCTCTCTATCTTTCTGTGTGGCGTCAAACCCACTTCAGCGTTTAACCAACAACTAAAGGGTCTGAGGAAGAACTTTTGTGTCCTACTCTTTGTGATTAAAGTGTGACTAAAATCAGTGCCTCTGCGATTTGAGAGTTGCGTGTTGTTAAATTGTAATTATACTGCAAATGCAATTTGCCCTAATATATATATATATATATATATACACATACATTTGTGTTTACATAAATGTTCCAAACTGTAAATGATTTTTCTGTGACAAGAAACCTGTGTAATTCCAGTCAGCTCTGTACAGAACTCGGAGAGAACTGGGTGTTCCTGAGGTTGAACATAAGTATGAAACTCAGACTCAACCTCTCCTGTGGATGTGTTCAGTAAGACTGCAGGGAATTCAACTGTGGGGGAGGAAGAAATAGGAGACCGGTTCAGAGTTACATTGGCAAACACACCAGAAATGAAACTATATCAAATCTACATGATTAAAATCTAAATACTTACTGATTTCTTGTCCGTGGTTATTTTTCTCTCTCCAGCAAGTCGACTCAAAGTCGATCACAATTAAGTATGAAAATATCTGATCTGGAAGAAACAAGTATCTATGAGAGAAATGTCTGTGCAGCAATAAACACTTATTTACCAGCAGTCTAAGCAAATGGAAGAAAATAAAAAAACACTTACTCGATATACCTGATTTCTTTAAACCAGGAGCAGACTGACTGCGTTGCCTCAGTAATCCTAATTTCCTTTTAAAATAAAGAATAAAGGCAAAATGTTTTAATTTTAAACAGACATTCTGTATGACAAAGCAACACAAGAAATACCTTTTCTGTGTGTGCAGTAAAAGGCGACTGAATAATTAAAAGCTTCTTTTTTTTTTTTTTTTAGGGTATGAAGATTTACGCTCCACATGTCAGTAAAATATTTGGTGAGCTGTGTGAACTCTCACTGCATCTAAACAGTTTATATGAAACCCACCACATCTAGGCTGGCCCCCCCTTTTTTTCATTTACAGGCATTCGTGATATATTTTAGTGTCCAACTCCAGAAAAACAGTGAAATGTACATGAAATGTAAGCAGCTATTATTTTTTTAAGATATAACCTTTATCTTTAATGCGTTTTATCTGTGTAGCTGCCCTAAATGTTGGTATTTGAAGCGTGTTGTTGTAGCTGCAAAGTGGCTAACAGGCTAATTTCACTTACTTAGCTAGTTTTCTTGTCGACATGTCAGTCGGTTGATGCAAATTAATTAAAAATACAATAAAATAGAAATAAGTTTTTTGCTACCTAAACTCCAACCAGAAAAAAAAAATACCGCTGGTTTTTCAAACATAAATGTATCGTTCGGAGGTCGATTACTTTCTTCTGTAAGACCGACCAGTCGAACGCAGAGCTTCAGGAAAAAGTAACACCGGAACACATATTTTCTTCCGGTAAGCAATTCCAATATAAAAGCACATTAGTTTCACTGTTTAAACAAATAGGTATGGTATGAAGAACATTTGTTTATCTAAAAATAACCTATATCAGGTAATATTTGAGTAGCTATCCATTATTCTAATGAAGTGTCCCGTAAATGTAAATTTAAAATGGAATGACATTTTATTCTGAAAGGCATAAACCAGAAGTTGTCCCCTTTTTTCCTTGCCGGCCGTAAACAACATCTCACAACGTGCTTTTGGAAGTGTTTCTATTCTAATGGACTCATCTAGACCCTCAACATCTGGTAATGTACACACCAGAGTTTCAAAACTCGGAAAATTATGTATGTCCGTTTAAACTGGTTTGGTTGGGGCTAAAAACAGAGTACGGAGCCTGTTAAACGAATAGGCTTGCTAAATGTAATATTTAAGCACATAAATTTCTGTAAATATTGATATGGTACGTAAAAGTCCTACGATTTCTGCTATTTTTGAACAGTGTAAATTAAATTTCTATTCATTTTTGGCTGCATTATTAATTCTAAATTTGTCATTATTAATATCAAACAAACAATAAAATCCTGAAAACAAATAATAGTGGAACAAGCTTAGATTCTAACTATTTTAGATCATCAGTGTTTGGAATGCATGTGCAAAGGAAACACTATGATTCAATACTTGTAGAACCACTTTATACACTATCAGTTTAAAAAAAGAAGTTGTGTTCTAAAATAATTCATTTTTAAAACCTTGACCACTCTTTCTTACATGTGTGTTTCCCTTCAGTTCTTTATTTTATTTCTCTATTTTATATATATATATATTATTCCTCTACTTTATATATATATTTCACTTAACTTATGTGGGCTGTGGGTGCTGGAAACCAAAGCCAGATCCCTTATTTGTACTCTTACGTTTTGGCCAATAAAGCTGGTTTCTTTTAAAAATGTGTTCAATACATCAGTATTTATTTTCTTCTGCTCTTCAACAAAGTCCCATGCTGCATTTCAATCTGATGTAGTTCTGACCTTTGAGGGAGCCCGATGCTTTCTATTTCAACTATTTGTGTACAGATTTACTGCTCTGCAGTGTATATTTCTCCTGTGGATAACCTGGTTTGGGCCAAGATTGATCTGTTGAGCAGATGGCCACTTATTTTACTTTAAAATATGTTGGTATACAGAATATGTCCTTTCACTGCAGTGACTGCAAAGTGACAAAGTCCTGTAGCAGCAAAGCAAATCTTAGAAGAATTAGATTTTTATGCTGAATTTCCTACTTTGCCCTAATCTGAGAAACAGGCGAATAACATACTGTGTTTTTCTTTCTTTTTCTTTTGAGCATTTCCAACCTAAGTCAAGCTAGCAACTGCAGCCTTATAATGGGTTTGAAGAGTTGTGCCTATTTACTCATTGCTGATGTTTTTGTCTCTTTGCATTATGCCAACTAACCTTTATGCTCCGGAATAACAAACAGCAAAACAAAACAGCTTTTATAGAGCTTTTATAACATTGATCAATTCATCAATTGCATTCATTTACCCAGTCGGCCTCGGCAGACGGCCACTAACACTGAGCCTGGTTTTGCTGGAGGTTTCTTCCTGTTAAAAGGGAGGTTTTCCTCTCCACTGTCGCTATAAGCATGCTTTGTTAAGGATTGCATCCGAGTCAGTGAGTCGATGCAATAAACTGCTTTTCCTTAGATAGAAAACTATGAATCAATTTAACTGTATGATCTGGTGAACTGTAAAGTGCCTTGACATGACGTGTGTTGTGAATTGGCGCTATAGAAATAAACAGAATTGAATTGAATTGAATTGAAGAATCTGGAGCTCATAGGAACAGCAAATGTGCTCTTGTTTCCCCATGACTGGTGTTAAAAGTCATGAAACTGTTCACATCTCCACTAACCCAAACCAAGAACATTTTAACCATGTTTATAATATCTCTCCTTCTCTTTAGAAATATCATCCTAACCATGAAGGCTTCCCTGTCTCCATCAGTTACATGTGGCGAAAAGAAAAGAAAAAATGAGGCTCCAGCTGCAGATGAGGGCATCAAAAGATTGAAGACTGAGGAGGGAGGAGATCTCCAGGAAAGGCCTCGTCATTCAGCGAGGCTCTCGGTCTGCCTCGATCGTTTGCAGCAGCCGATCACACCGGCTGAGCTAATGGAGCTGCTTCATTTCGCTGCCCTGGGGAAAGCAGCAGGCATCAAACAGCCTAGGTACCGTTTGTCAGCTAAATATAAAAGGGTCTGTGCTCGACTCATGCATACTTACATTGTGTTTTTCTGCCCTCCTTCACATCAGCTGGTGTCGTGTCCACCATCAAAGGAATGTCAGCGGTATAAATGTTGTCGTTGTGGAGGGAGTGACGCAGAGTCTTTTCTACAAGCACTACCTCTTAATGGAGCACCTTAGGACAAGCTACACAACTGTGAGAAACAGTAGGGAGAGGAAATGGACTGCTGGGATTAATATAATGATACACTAAAATCAGTTTCAATTGTTTTATATTTGTTTAAAACAGAGGGTTACCTTCACACCATCATCTAACAATGTAGCTTCAGAGATCTTCCGCTGCGAAGTTCCAAACATGGACTTTTCATCTGTTTCTAAACCAGAGGAGACACTTCATACAGGTCAGAGGTGAACCTTCAATGTTGAAGTGTTTGTGGAATTTATCCAGAAATATTTTTTCCTTCAGTGTTTTCAGTGTTTAACTCAGCAAATTCTTCCCTTAATGAACTTCATGTGTGTTTCTGCCCAGCTGTGAGGCACCATCCAGTTATCACTACGTTTGGCACAAAGAGGAGAGGACTGACTGCATATGTTCTGAGCCAACAGCAGTTGATAAAGAACCGCTATCCAGTCAAAGGTAAAAATGCATTACATTAGATTTATTTATTTTATAGGGACAATGCACATTCATTGATAATCTATAGATGAGCTAGAATCAGCTATAAGGGTATTTTTCATCAGTTGTCACTGGACAAAACGTAATTTGTCTCATTTAAACAAACAAAGGTTATACAGTAAAGGTTAAAATGAATTAACACCACAAATAAAAAAAGTAAATA